CACCCCCATTGCAAGAAAAACCAGAAGTATTTTGTGTATCCAGTCTGCAGACCAAGCAAGAGAGCAACAACCTTCAAATCGCCACAAAGCTGCCACTGATGTTGGTCATAGTTTATGCACCTCAAAAGTTTCATGTTGTCATAGGTTTCCTTCATATGGACTGCATGACCAACTGGAATTGATGGCAAAACATTGCCATTATGCCAAGTAAAACAGCTTTAAGACTCGTCTTCAATGAATCAATGAACAGTCTCCACTCATCTGGATCGTGAACGATGTTGAGGGCTGCCATCACACCATCGATGTTGTTGCAGGCTACAAGATCACCTTCCATGAAGAAGAATGGGACAAGATCCTTTCGATGGTCACAGAACATGGAAACCCTAACATCACTTGCCGGGAGATTCCACTGCTGTAGTCTGGAGCCCAACAGCTCTGCCTTACTCTTAGATTCATAGATTCAAGGACTGGAAGGGACCTCTAGAGGTCATGGAGTCCAGTCCCCTGCCCGCATGGCAGGACCAAATACTGTCTAGACCATCCCGGACAGACATTTATCTAACCTACTCTTAAATATCTCTAGAGATGAGATTCCACAACCTCCCTAGACAATTTATTCCAGTGTTTAACCACCCTGACAGTTAGGAACTTTTTCCTAATGTCCAACCTAGACCTCCCTTGCTGCAGTTTAAGGCCATTGCTTCTTGTTCTATCCTTAGAGGCTAAGGTGAACAAGTTTTCTCCCTCCTCCTTATGACACCCTTTCAGATACCTGAAAACTGCTATCATGTCCCCTCTCAGTCTTCTCTTTTCCAAACTAAACAAACCCAATTCTTTCAGCCTTCCTTCAAAGGTCATGTTCTCAAGACCTTTAATCATTCTTGTTGCTCTTCTCTGGACCCTCTCCAATTTCTCCACATCTTTCTTGAAATGCGGTGCCCAGAACTGGACACAATACTTCAGCTGAGGCCTAACCAGAGCAGAGTAGAGCGGAAGAATGACTTCTCATGTCTTGCTCACAACACACCTGTTAATACATCCCAGAATCATGTTTGCTTTTTTTGCAACAGCATCACACTGTTGACTCATATTTAGCTTGTGGTTCACTATAACCCTTAGATCCCTTTCTTCCGTACTCCTTCCTAGACAGTCTCTTCCCATTCTGTATGTATGAAACTGATTTTACCCTCCTAAGTGGAGCAGTTTGTATTTGTCTTTGTTAAACTTTATCC